AAGGGAACAAGGGAAATCTAACAGGAAGGATACTATTATTACAGTCCAGCTCTGTCTTCCTCACTCTCACCCCACTGAAAAAGCATTTTGAAGTTGCTGAAAGATGAGACTGAAAAACAAATTACAAAATACAATAAACCAGTAAGAGGGGCAAAATGGTGCTTGTATCATGGCTCATGCTAAACTGTGGGTCTCAGGTCCTTCATTATTAAAGTGTCATGATGAACTACATCTTACTCTTGTTGCATAATTAGAATAATGAGAATATAAGGGAATGTTCCTAGGAGAGTACTTGGCAAAGAACAAGTACTTCAATATCTTTTCCACTTCTTTCTCTTCAATTTCCACTTCAAAATATAAGCAGATATACACATTGGGGGGAAAAAAATAAGCAGAGGGGTGGGTATCAAGATACTTTTCACAAAAGTAAACTATAAAAAGGAGCTCTGGTGGTGTAGTGCCTAAGGCATTTGACTGCTAACCAGAAGGTTGCCAGTTCAAACCCACCAGCAGCTCTGTGGAAGGAAGATGGGGCAATCTATTTCCATAAGGATTAACCACCTTGAAATCCCAATGGGGGTCACTGTGAGTCAGAATTGATTTGATGGCAGTGAGTTTGTTTGTTTGTTTGTTGATTGATTGATTCATTCATTCATTCATTCATTCATTTCTATAAAACACCCAGAAGATAACAGGAGAAAACCTAGATAACCTTGGTTTTGGCAACGGGTTTTTACAAACAACACCAAAAGCACAATCCGTGAAAGGAAAAATTGATAAGGTGAATTTCATTAAAATTAAAAATTTCTGCTCTTCTAAAGAGGCTGTGAAGACAATGAAAAGATGATAAGGCACAGACAGGAAGGAAATACTTGTGAAACACATATTTGATAAAGGACTTGTATCCAAACTATGCAAAACCAACAATAAAGCAAAATGGTACAGTCACTTTGGAGACAGTCTAACAAAGAATCCAATCACAAAATGGACAAAAGATGTGAACAGGTATCTTACCACAGGAGATATATATACAAATGGTCAAGGAGCTTATGAAAAGAAGCTCAACATCTTTGTCTTTAGGGAACTGTAAATTTCAACAACGAGCTGCTGCTACACACTTATTGTAGTTGCTGTGTACCTGCAAGTCGATTCCAACTCATAGTGACCCTACAGGACAGAGTAGAACTGCCCACAGGGTTTCCAAGGCTATAAATTTTTACAGAAGCAGACTGCTACATCTTTCTCGCACATAGTGGGTGGTGGGTTAGAACTGCCAACCTTTAGGTTAGCAATCAAGCACTTAACCACTGAGCTACCAGGACCCCTTTGCTAATTAGGATGGCTAAAATCCAAAGCACTGACAACATGCTAGTAAAGATATGGAACAACAGGAAATCTCATTCATTGTTGATGGGGATGCAAAATGGTACAGTCACTTTGGAGACAGTCTAGCACTTTCTTACAAAGCCAAACATAGGCTTATCATACAATTTAGCAGTTATACTCCAAGACATCCAAAAGAGTTCAAATTTATATACACTCACACACATATACACAAACCCACTGCCACTGAGTCAATTCCGACTCATAACAACCCCATAGGACAGAGTAGAACTGGCAGCTTTATTCATAATTGCAAAAAATTGGAAACAAACTAGATGTCTTTCAAATGATGAATGAATGAACTGTGGCACATCCATACAATGCAGTCTTATTCGACCATAAAGAGAAATTACCTATCAGACACCAAAAGACACAGAGGAAACTTAAATATATATAGCCCAGTGAAAGAAGCCATTCTTGAAAAGCTATATAATGTGTAATTCCAATAGCAACATTCTGAAAAAGGCAAAGCTACAGAGACAGTGAAAAGATCACTGGTTGCCAGGGGTTCAGCAGAAGACAGAGATGGACGACCAGATGGAACACAGGGGATTTTAAAGGCAGTGAAACTATCCTGTATGATACTGCAATGGTGGACAAACAACATTATGCATTTGTGAAAACCCACAAAACTGTACAACCAAAGTGTTTCCTATTGTAAACAATGTTACATTATAATATTACAAACCCACAAGTTAATAATAATACATCAGTACTGATTCTGTTGTTACAAAAGGTACCCCTGGAAGGCAAGATGTTAATACTAGGAGAAACTGTGTGTGTAATGGGGGAGAGAGGGTATTTGGGAACTTTGTACTCTGTGCCATTTTTCTATAAACATGAAACTGCTGTAAAAAAATAAAGATGATTAAAAAAATACAAGCAGCTAGCTCTTATCTATACTACAGAAATCCTTCCTGGACATACTACTCTTCCCCCAACACACTCACCCATGGACAAACACCTTCCAAGGTGTAGCTGATGCTATGAAACAGAACTTTCTTATCACTCATAATCTGCCTCTAGTAACAGTGCAGAAAACAAAAATCCTCACAACCCGACCAATATGCAACATCCTGATAACTGGAAAAGACATTCAAGTTGTCGAGATTTCACTCTACTTGGGTCAACAATCAATGCCCATGGAGGCAGCAGCCAAGAGATCAAATGACACACCGAACTGGGCAAATCTCCAAAAGACCTTCTAAAATTTGAAAAAGGGAAGATGTCACTTTGATGCTAAAGTGCATCTGTCCCAAGCCATGATCTTTTCAGTAGCCTCACACACATAAGAAAGTTAGATAATAGAAAAGGAAGACAGGAGAATTAATGCATCTGAACTGTGGTATTGGTGAAGAATACTGAGCATACTGAAGACTGCCAATGGAACAAACAAATGAGTCTTACAAGAAATACAACTAGGATGTTCCTTAGAAGTGAGGATGACACAATTTCAACTCGCTTACTTTGGACAGATCACCAGCAAGGCTAATCGCTAGAAAAGGGCATCATGTTTGGAATGTTTGGTAAAGTAGAGGGTTGGCGAAAATTAGTCAACCCTCATCGACACAGGCTGACACAAGAGCTACAGCAATGGATTCAAATATACCAACAATCTTGAAGACGGTGCAGGACTGAGCAATGCTTTTTTTTCCTGTTATTCACGAGGTTGTCATGAATCAGCGACAACCTGATGGCAACTAACAACAAAATTAATAGTGCATAAAATTGTCTAGTTAAGGCAAAAATACTGTTATTTCATGCTTTCAATGTAAAGGCATTCACAAGGTAGATTTAAGTGTATTACAGCAGTATAGAATGGGGAAGAAAAGGTCACTGAAAGAAGTAAGGGAACATTTCAAAGTACTGAAAAATGCAAGTATTGTACCTTGATCAGCAACTAAAGAGTAATCCACCCCTAAGAGTATCTCCACCCTGCTCCCACACAACACAAACTGGTAGTCTTAAAAAGTGACAGCACAGTATGTGACACATCCAGACAGGGTGTGTATGTGTGTGAAATACATTTGCAGAGGGCTAAAAACTAGGTAACAGAGACTGTAGGACAAGAAAGTGTTTTAAATCTATCCTCTGCCAAATGCCATTGATGCAACTCTGGCTTGAAAAAGACTTGTAAATTCTAAAGACAAGTTTTACCAAAGGAAGTTTTCATTTTCTGACAGGAAAAAAAAAAAAAAAGCTGATTTAAAAGTAAAATGTTTTTAGTGAAAAGTTTGTAGTCATGTGGTAACTGCTTTGCCATCCAGGATGTGGGAACTCTACTAGAGAGATGAAACCAGCAATCTTTTAGGTTCTAACCCCATCTCTCTTGTCTCTTTTCCTCCAAACGTGGCTCTCAATCACAAATGAACATTTCCCCTCTCATTTTAACCAAACTATGGGATCTAAAAAGGAGCTGTGGGAGTGGAATGATTAATGCAAAAAGGTCAACCAGCAGCTGGACAGCAGAAAGATGGGGCAATCTGCTACCAGAAAGATTGACAGCCTTGGAAACCCTATGGGGCAGTTCTACTCTGTCTTACAGGGTTGCTGTGAGTTGGAATCAACTGGATGGCAGTGGGTTTGGTTTGGTTTTATGGGATCTAAAAAAGTAGGAAGCATAAGGCCCTTAAACATCTCCAGGAAAGCTGCTAATCAACATCCTTCAGGGCTGTCAACACTCAAAGTGCAAAACACAGACTTGCAGATACTATGGTCCTCAGGTCCAGGAAGGTTCCTCCTACACCCAAAAGAAAGCTACCGAGTTTCAGTTCTTACACTTTTTTTAAGGACAAAAACTAATTAACTGAACATAGCTACTTTTCCTTCCGTTTTTATACTAAAACACACAAATTCCTCCATTTTCTTCTTCTTTCCTCTAAGTTAGAGAAATCCATAATAAATATGCTCGCTTAGTACTCATTTTGAAGACTGTTTTTTAGAAGACAGGCAAAGAGAGATGAGCGAACTGAGGTAAGATTTTTCTCCCCCCCCCCATTCCTGCACTGTACAGCGATTATGTGTATTTGTTGTCTAACAATAAAAGCGTTTGGAATGCACAGAGATGCAAAGTAATGTGAGGCGCGAGATGCAGACACAGTGCAGCGTGTGTGCCCCGGGCAGTCACAAAGGCTGCCAGGCCAAAGGAGAAAAGCCTTCCCGAGCAGAAGTCGCAACACCGCAAGTCCGAGGTTGGCCACGCCGGCAAATTGCATCCGGTCCAAAGCAAACCGGCTCCCGGACAGCCGGCAGCCGGCGGCGGGAGGGCGGGCGAAGAAAGGGAACCAGACCAACACTGGGCACACGTCAAGGAGGGCGAGGCCGGGGAGAAAGTGAGAGAGACTGTTTGCGCGCGGGAGGGCGAACAGCGGGAATCCGGGAGGGAAAGACAGCGGAGCAGGGGTGCGGGTGGAAAGGGGCGATCTGGCCAGGGCGCAGAAGCTTCGGCTGACAGATCAGGCCGGGGAGGCGACCTGGGTACCGGGGACAAGACCGAGCATTAGTGAAGGACCGAAGGGAGGGGAAGCGGCTTCTGGGCGCCAGACTCAGGTTGAAGCGCGTGAAAAGGCCACGCGGTGTGCGCGGCTGGGGCGGGGGCGCAAGGGCGCGTCGGTCACCTGTATTGTTTGAAAAGCTGGTCTGACTCCCTAAAGCCGTTGTTGAGCAGCATGTTGATGCCGGCCAGGGCTAGCTCCGCGTCCTGCAGGGGCGCCGCTGCCACGGCCGAATCTCCGTCGTCCCGCCGCCGCGGCCGCTGCTGCTCCGAGCCGGCCATGGGCGCGCAAGGGACTGCGCGGGTCTGGGGCGAGGGTCGCGGGTCAGCTGCTGCGGCCGGCGCGCCAGGGGCCGGGATTCCTGGCTCTACCTGCCCCGAGCCGAGCGCGGGGAGCGCGGGAGGGGTGGGGGAGGAGCCGCGGCCCGGGTGCAGCGCGTCGGAGGATGTGGGCGCCAAGGCCCCGCCACCCCCGCGCCGCCGCGGGGAATTACTCAGCAGCCGCGCACCCGCCCGCTCCTCCTGCTCGCTCCGAGACACCCGACTCGCGCTTGCACTGAAGCGAAATCCGTTTCCGGGTATCTTTCACCCTGCCCAGCCGGTCCCGTAGGGGCCGCCGCCCCCGCTTCCTGCAGCCCCTCCACACCGCGTCCCTGGCCCGGCCGTCCGGTACCCGTGCGCCGTGGCTGGGTGGACACAGGGGAGGCCGGTACCCTTGGCCCACCCCAAAGGGCCGCACTCGGGAAACCCCCCAAGCGGTGGAGCCGGGAGGGAAGGAAAGCCGGTTTTGAGAGGAGACAAACTCCCCCAGGGCCGCAACGAGAACGCGGGACTGGGGATCGGCTGGCCGCTCGGGCCCGCCGCGCTTCTGGCACTAGTGCCAGAAACCCGGCGCCCCCAGGGCCCATGACCCCCAACTTCATCCCTGCCACTAGTGCCGGGGTAGCCAATCCCCGAGGCGGTGGACCGTGGGGGCGGGGCCTCCGGGCACCTGCAGTACAGCTGCCGTAGCCCAGCGCTGGGCCGCTGGACGGGAGAGCTGAATCTGGGTGCTCACCCACTCCCAGCCCTCCCCTAACATTTGCACCGTGGGGCAAGAGGACAGGTGGAGGCCCACAAACCACATGTCTAAACATTTAAAAGTTGTAAATCCAGCTAACAAACTGTTAAAGTGAGAATAATACCTTCATGTCTGTAAAATAGAAAAATGTTTGTATGTTTTATATGACCAAATGTCAGCAAAATATCAAAGACAACTGAATTTAATCACTATTGGAAATGTCTGAATGTTCTGATAATTGGGCTGGTGACGTCAGTATGAGTAATATGAAGACATTCATAAATCATCTTATGTTTTTCCCTAACATTTATTTTTGACGTATTTTAATGAAATAATTTTGTTACAATCACCACTGTGTTCTTAGTATCAAGTTAGACCACCTTTCTTGAGTCATGTAGTTCTTAGAATGTAGTTTATTAATTTTGGGAGACAGTTTATTCTACTGAGACATTTACAACTGAAATTATTTTTAAAATTTTAAAGTGATATGTTTAAAGTAGGATTTAGAAAAAAATATGAATTTTAATGTTGAACATTGTAATGCAATCAATATGATCACTTACCATAAAAGTATTACAAAATAATTTTTCATCATATAAATTGCTATTTCTTAATGTGCTTTTTCTCATCCCTTACAAAATTATCTAAACCCGTACAATATTTCCAACATTCATACACAAAAATTTAAGAGTAATGTGAATTGTTTATATTGCAAGAATGTCCTTAGCTGCCATATGTAACTATTGCAAATACCATGTGAATTCCTGAGTAGGTCTGGACCCACAAATTGGAACCAAAAGAAGAAACAAAATGCTTCTCACTCTTGGTACACTATACTTTGTAGTGCAAAAATTACATTTGTGCTATCTGTATTGAAGGATTTGACAAGTTGACCAACATATTCATTAAGCACTTCTAGACTTCTAAACAGTGTTTGTCTCAAAGATTAGCAGTGTCACAGTCCTTTGTGGCATTAGATACTGTAACTTTTTGTTTTTTTTCAGGACACAGTGAAGAGATGAGAATCCGTGTTTCCCTGGGCCTATACAGCATTAATCATGAGAGGGATATTTAGGGTTTTAGGTTCCACTGAGCCAGCACTGAGTGCCAGATTCCATGAGACATGTGCTCATTAACAAATTCACGTATATGTGTGTGTTTTGATGGGCAGGGTTCTCTAAAGCAGTCGTAGTGGCTTTATTGCTTACATGTCACTTACAAGGAGTTGACTCCTGGCCATACAGTGCCTGTCAGAGCTGCTGCCCTGACACAAATAGGTTGCCTGCATTTTAGACCTATGGAAACATTCACCCCAAAACCCTTAAAACAATCTCATAATAAGGGTGGGAAGTCAAGAGAGCAATACCAAGCTTGGTATTCTCCCCCAACCAGAGAAGACAGCCAAGCAGAGTTCTCTATTGCTGCAGCAAAAGGAGGGTGGGGGGATGTATTTCAAGGAATTGGGAGTGTCATAGACATCCTTGACAAGGGTCCATGGAGCCTAGAAGCTGAGGATAGAGGAGAGGGGGCCTTGAGCAAAGTCAATGGAATTTTTGTGTGGCAAGTTGTCTCAAGCATAGTGACTTAGCATAGTCGGTTATTCAGACTTAGAGAAGTTTAATGTTGAACAAGTGGGATTGCCCAGCACCCTGTAATAGGCAGAGGAGGACTGGTGTGGCCAGGGGGATGGCTATGTTAATACATTCCTCTGAATGTGCCAAACGGGGAGGGGAGAGGAAAGGAGAGAAATGCTCAAGATGTCACCTGGAATAAAGAACCTATTTCCTTTCTACATACCCCTTGTAAGTATTGTCAATATTTGTGGTTCTTCATGGATTTCGTTTCAAAAATGAAACTCCACGTCCAAATGATCAGTTTGTTGTTGTTGTTGTTGTTGTTGTGTGCCATCGAGTCGGCCCCGACTCATAGCGACCCCTCCTTGGGTTTCCAAGGCAGTATCACTACGGAAGTAGGATTGCCCAACCTTCCTTCCGAGGAGTGGAATGATCAGTTTAGACATGCATATTCCCTTTCCACGGTAGTGTATGATCTAAGATGTCTTAGTTGCAAGGAACAGAAAAACCTGCCCCAATCTGGCTCAGAGAAGGCAATTTATTTGCTCATGTAGGGGATCCCTCAAATGAAGCTGTGTGCAGAACTTCAACACTGTGAATAGGTCTAACTCCTCTCCTGTGTCTCTCATCTCTGCCACCTTGGTATTTGGTGGCTCTGTATTCAGACAAGTCCTCCTCTCCTGGTCGCAAAATGTCTTCCAAGAACTCCCAGGATTATATGCTTCCCTCTTCACATCCAGCAGGAAGGAATTGCTCCATCTATACTTTAATCACAATCAAAGAACTGAATTTCATTGGCTTTGATTGGTCCACTTGGGGGTCAGTTATCCATCCCTGAACCAATCAGTATGCCTAAGAGGGGTAGGTCATTCTGATTGGATGCAGCTGCTCCAGGATCTGGGGAATAGAATCAATTTCACACAAGGCTCATAACTGGGAAACCAAATCTATTAAGAAGAGGGATGTAGGGAATGGATGTTGAAGAAACAATGAACAAATATCCTTGACCTTTGTCTTCCTAAACATGCTTTGAGTTTGTGAAATTTGGAAAATACACTGTCTTAGGGAAATCTTACTGTATGTGCTTTAGCTATATTAAAATTTAGGGGGTAATAATCATCCTTTTTGTGTCATGTATTTTTGTAAATGCATTATCTATCCCTTGAAATACAGATTCCCAAAATGTCCAGAATTTAAGAATGAAGAAGGCAAGAAAAGTAATGGCACTTCATTTTCAGGTTGTTTCTGATATTGTGCTAAATTTACTAAAAGAATTCTGCCCTTATACTCTATTGAAGGTGAAGTAAGATTTAGTTAATTGTTTTTAATTGGAAGGGAGATAAGGTTAAGGATTTACACGTAAAACCTTACGTCAGGGTCTTGTCTTTTCTGCCCATCAGTGGACCACTGGCTTGCCTCTATGGAGGAGAGCATGTGGCGAGCCCCTGGGAATCCACCTAGCTGCTTCTATGGATGGTTATCCCTGGAAGGATACTCATTGCTGCCCTACAGACCACAGTGGTAACCACAGACCAAAAAAAAAAAAAAAAAAACCTCTCTGTCATTGAGTAGATTCTGACTCATAGCAACCCCCATTGGGTTTACGAGGCTGTAAATCATTATGGAAGTAGATTGCCTCATCTTCTTCCACAGAACAGCTGGTAGGTTTGAACCACTGACCTTCTGGTAAGTAGCCAAATGCTTTACCTGTTATGCCACCAGAACTCCTTGATAACCACAGAAGAGGAAACAGTTTTCCATCTGGTTTGACAACTCTTCATCTTCCTTTCCCAAAACTTACTACTCACTGGACCCTAATTAGATTTGAGGCAGGTGTTTACTAGAGCTTAGATCATTGTTCCAGTTTTGTATAGATTCAGCGGCAAGACTGGGGCTGGGAAAAATGACATCATGTCCTCATTTATTAGTTACCTAATGCTACCGGGAACTCTGGTAGCATAGTGGCTAAAAGCACTTGACTGCTAACCAGACGGCTGGCGGTTCAAACCCACCAGCCACTCCTCGGAAGGAAGGTTGGGCAATCCTACTTCCGTAGTGATACTGCCTCGGAAACCCAAGGAGGGGTTGCTATGAGTCGGGGCCTACTCGACGGCAAACAACAACAACAACAATGCTGCCGTAACAAAAATACCATAAATGGATGGTTTTAAAGATAAGAATTTCTCCATGGTTTTGGAGGCTAAGAGTCCAAATCAAGACATTAGCTCTAGAGAAGAGTCCTTCTTTGTTGTGGCCCCAGGTGTTCCTCAGCATTCCTTGGCTTGTAGAATGATCTTGTCTGTCTTCCCCCGTGTGTGTGTGTGTGTGTGTGTGTGTGTCACTGTTTCTATTCTGTTCTTATAAGACACTAATAAGAAGGGATTAGGTTTAGGATTCTTCCACTTGTTGTTAGCCTCCATCAGGTCACTCCAACTCATGGTGACCCCACGCACAACTGAAGGAAACACTGGTCCTGCATCATCCCCATAATTGGTTGTGGATCAAACCATTGTGATCCATAGAGTTTTCATTGGTTGATTTCCAGAAGTAGCCCACCAGACCTTTCTTCCTAGGTTGTATCAGTCTGGAAGCGCCACTGAAATTTGTTCAGTATCACAGCAACACACAAACCACCATTGACAGATGGGTGGTGGCTGGGTGTGAAGTGCATTGGCCTGGAATTGAACCTGGGACCTGGGTCTCCTGCATGAAAGATCAGAATTCTGCCACTGAACCACTACTGGCCCTATCCTATTTTGGTATGATCTCA